CATATGCATTTTTGTACATTTACTATTGTAGGGTTAATGAACATCTAGCTTGCAAAATGGAATAGGAAAAGTTCTAATTAGATCTGTAGGCTGTGAGTGCACAGAATGTAGTGCTGTGAGTGTGTAATGCACAGAAAATTTCTTTAAATGGCTATTAATGAGTTATAGTTGCCAAAAAAGTACTTTTAGCAAACATTCCCAATTCCTTGATGCAGCGTATTAGAAGTGTTTAGAGATGAATTAGAGTATTAGAAATGTATTAGAGTGTAGTGATGAAAGGTTTTTTTTTTTTTTGGAAATTTTGATTGCCTATATATGGAGTAGTAGCCTAAACTCATTTAACAGCAGAATTTCTTCTGAATTAAATTTAATCTGCAGCTGCTGAAGTCTTCCTAAATGTTTCATTGTACTTTCTTTATGCCTATAGAAGGGCATTCGATCTACTGGGTATTAGCATATCAGTTGAAAATCCCTACTGTTATAATTATCTGTGATACAATGCCTGGGATGAACATGCAGAACTGACTCTTTGCCAAATACATTTATACTCCAACTATTAGAATAAATGACTGAAAAAGGGCATATTAGCTATTCTCTTCCACATTATTCAGTACAGAAATTCTTTAATCCCCATTATGTGTAATTCATCTAGTCCATATATCTTTATAGAGTTAAACTTGCTTTTCTTTAAACTGGTATTACTGTGTAGCTGATAAGCAAATTTTTGTCCTGGTTTCAACTACAGTCTCACCCTTCAGTGGCTGAGTGATAAAGTCGCTAAACTCTGGTAGTTCGGTCTGAGGTTCAAAATTGGCTACATGAGTGTTTTCATGGTTTTTCCCAGGACTTAGAAGAGAAGGGCTAGCTCATAGAGCTTTTCCCCCTGAAGCAGAAAGTGAGAAGTGATGATGTAGCCATGATGACACTGAGCGTGCCAATATAATTCACAGCTTGGAAGTTAGCGTTTTTGAACCAGCGTTTAAAATGAGCTGTGTGTGAAAGGTAGCTATAATTTGGAAGAGGCAATGTTACTGCTTTATGTATTTTAGACTGAACCATAAAAAAATTTAATAATGCTTACCCAATTTTAAAATAATAGATAAAATGTGCTACTCTTTTAACATAAAGTTCTGTGGGTTTTTTTATATTTTTTTATTTGCGTTTTTTTTTTTTTTATTTAATGCACGTTTATTTCTAATCATTTCTTAATTTGTATGCTAACTGAGAGAATTTTTATACTGCTTCTAAGATAACTATAATAGCAGCTATTTAAATTTACTCAAAAACCAACTTTACATTGACATAGGTTTAAACATATATGATATATGGTAACATTCTGCTAACCTACGTTTGATTTTTTGCCTAATTGTAATTTTACATTTGTTATAATTCTCTTCCGATTCAATATAATAGATATTTTTAAAATAATTTTGGAATTTATACTTATATCTATATTACATTAAATAATGTATATAAGATTGTTACCTTAATTTTGACAAATATCTTTATTCAGAGTACCTAAAACAGTTATTTAATTTTTCAAAAGTGTGAGTAAAGGAAGCAGGTCTTTTTATGCCAATTACTTTGATGTTTTTATTATATTTTATCTGGATGCTAATCCAGCACAAATCTAATGAATAATTAGTTACAAGGATCAATAAGAATAACTTTACAAGTACTTAACAAAATTAGTTTGTTAAATACTTGTTACTTTTGTTGGTACTATTTTGGTACTATTCATAACCCAAAGATATTATCGATTAACTCATAGAAGTCAGATGCTTCTGATTTCCTGTGGGTAGAGTATACCTTTTGCGGTACTTTTGAAAATAATGTTTTCTCTGGAGCGACCTTTTTGTCTCTCGTTGCCCTTGACCATTAAATAATTTGGTTTTAGTTTGTGACACAATTTGATTTCTTCTCAATCTCTATTTAAAACCTCTTTAATAATATCAAAATTTAAAACAGTTACATCTTCTAACACAAATCCTTTATCTTCTTATTTGTGTAACTTTATTATGACATATACCTATCATGAACAACAGAACAAGTCTGATTTTCACCCTGTCTTCGCCTCTCCTGGTCCTGGGCTTCGTCTGCGTGTTTCTCTAAACTTGTGACGTCATGCTGTCACCCCCTCTTTGCACTACTGATGCCTCCTTTCAATCGTCATTGCCATCATGCGCCCTTCGGGCCGATGTGCTATGAGCCGGAAACGTTGCGTAAAAACAGCAATATGCCGGCAATATTGATGATGATGATGATGAAATCCTCTATCTAAAACGCGGTTTCTCAGTAATTTGAGGCAGAGCGCGAAATGAGACCTCTGATTAAAACAAACTGCACATTTTGAAAAGAACCAACTTAGTCCAGTTTAGAGTCATAGCAGAGTTTTCAATCTATATGCATTTCATTGAAACTGAGAACGCATATTTTTTCTACAGAATACAAATATTCACCTCTTTCCTTCTTTAGAGTAAGAACATTACTTTGAATTCTTGGACTACACTAAAATTTAGAAAACACTAAAAAATAAAATAAAACACCATTTCTTTAATTTGATACTAGGTAAAGATATTCCAATTTTTTTCTTTCCAAAAATCATAGCTTTAAGATGGCCAGAGCTCTTATGACAATGCAATGTGAAATATCTTCACTAGTCCACTTGATTTTTTCCTTCTTTTTCAACAATGCATTAATCTGCGTCTTTATATAAGAAAAAAGGCTTTAGACGTTTTTCCAAATTCTCTGATTTATGCCAACCCCCCCCCCCCCCAAATTTCGCTATTTGAGATTTTAATTTCTGATACCAATTTCTTTTTAGATGTCGTTCCACCTTCTTTGTCACTGAACAAACATTCTAAAATTTTTCTTTTCTCAATACTTTAATACAATTTCTTAAGGATATTATTTTGTTTTTCAAATTATCAATGCATTCTTGTTTATCCTTAAACTTAGGACATTCAGAAATATCTACATTTTCATTTGCGAGTTTTGTTTCATTAAAATTTGATTTAATTCATCATCATTTGATTTATTATTGTAATCATAATTTACTTTCGGCACAGCATTCCATTTCAACAGTTTCTTTTTGTGGCTATCCAAACAAGCGATTTTTCATATCATCTTCATAAACACTGTATAGAAAATGTTCGCTGCAGATTTTCCCACTCTTCACATTAATAGAATCTTCTCTTTGACATTTGTGTATCCATTCTTTCATCAAAAGTAAACTCTCATTTGGATCCTTTGGTCCCATGAAATAAAATATCTCATCCTTTCATACTTCTGTAAGTGCTACGGCACGTTACTGCAGCGCAAATAGCCGTATTACGTAAACGATACTTTACAAATAGAATTTAAAATAAAAAACTGACTAAAATTACATATGTATAAATTATTTTAAACATATACATTATTAGAAAACAGATAAATATATTATTAAAATTAATTTGGGATATGTAACCCCTAGAAAATCGTCTCGCAGCTCAATGAAACTACTGTTTTAAACGCAGGAAATTAGGACAGGTGGCATCACAGTGACGTCAGATTATTGCCTGTTACGTCCCCCCATTAGACTCGCATCGGCGAGGAGTCGAACAAAGAAATGAGCTAGCCCTTTTATCCCTGGTTTTTCCCATGTGTAATGTGTATACAAGCCAGTTTCAAGTCCTCCATGAAGGCATTTTTCTCCTTAGGCAGATAGCCATCAAGTGTTTTGCCGTAATCAAATAAACCAAACCAATCTACTACAGTTTCAGAATGCTAAATGAGCACAAGAAGAATAAAATAAAATTACTAAAATTTATAGTAGACTTCAACAAAACAAACTAAATTCAAAATTACTTCACTTCTGGCAGGTATAATAGACAGTAAATAAATTCAAATTATGTGCAATTAGCAAATTAAATTCTGTCTTAGCAACTGGCTTGGTAGATTTTGTTATCTGAAATTTTAATATGCAGAAAGGGCAGCTTAGAGAATTACCATGCATGTTGAGTACAATCATAGGTTAAGGTAAAGCTGCTGCTGATGTCAGTCCTTATCCTCTTAACTTCAGATTTTTTTTTCTCTATTTAAAAGTCCTTCCTCTCATTTACATATTTTGGTGAAAGCTGACAAAACAATGTAAGTTAGATTTTAGCATAAGCAAAATGTTTTAATTAAAATAAACCTCATATATTGTTATTATCATTAAACTCTTTTTTTTTTTTTTTTAAATAATAAAGCTATTCTTATTTGAACCAATATCAGTACAGCCAACATGGACTGAAAAATTATGTACCTAAAACTGCATAAATAAAATTATTGGATAGGGCAAAAAATAAATCTTTAATTGAATTATTAATCAATGAAAAATAAAGTAACAAGTGAATTTTTAATGATGGCAATAAAATAATTTTGTGCTAGCAATGCACTATAGTCTTTTTACTCTGTTTGTTGCTCCTATTCTTGTATCACTGTGAACTTTTACCTTCATGGCTGAATAAGTTTGCTATGAATGCAGATTATTTCATTCTGCACTGTTGCAGATAAACATCTGAAAGAAAAACACCTTGTTTACTCTTCCTTCCTCCCCTCCCATCTTAATCATTCTATTATAAGAGTTCAGTCGCTCATGATCAGGGCTGCAAAAGAATCATGCATCAATGTGAATATGAAAACAATGTGTGTATTTTTTAAGTTTTCAATTTTAAACTAGTCCACTGCCTATTTGCATACTTATTTAACAATCATTATTTATCAAACAATAGTGTATTTTCATGCAGTGGTTAATAGTCATCTGTATTAGATGTTGATTATAATGTGGCTGAATTTTGCTAGCAACAAAATAAATTTATGGTTTAAACTGTTGCATAAATGCAAAATTTTTGTTTTAAAAGCAATATTAAAATTTTTAATAATTTTACTGCAAAAGTGGAGGAGGATATAGAGTTCAGATTTCCATCAGTGCCTGCTTATTTCCGTAATGTAAGTTCTGTTTTCTCTTCTAGGCCACTACTAAACCTTCAACTCCCACTCCTTCGGTGTTATCTCCTTCTCAGACTTCTTCCAGCACTAGCCATAATAATGATCCAGTATATGAATGCACAACAAGTGTTGTGCGGTCAGTTATGCAGCTGTTGCAAGGTGTCCAGAAAGGTCAACATTCTGATTACTTAGAATTAGTAAAGGTAATTTTTTTTATTCTGTTTATTTTGTTTAGTCATATTAATTAAAAAGTTTTGTCAGGTGTTTAAATGATTATGTGTAAGTTATGATTATTGGTATTATATTAAAATAAATTCTACTGAAATTTTTTGGATTTTTTATGATTTTGTTTAAGCAAGTAATTCAAATTAACAAAAGCATTAAAAGTTAATGGACAACAGCTTTTACATTGAGGAATATATTATTGTTTGCAATTATAAAAAAATTTATAAGTTTCACTTTCTGAAATCCATTTTTAATAGAAAGCTGAACCTCTTTCTTTTTATTTAAAAAAAAAAAAAAAAATATAAGAATCTTGAAATTAAATTAGCTAAGGGCACACACACAAAAAGTTTCATTCATAACAAAAGATAAAAGTTGAAAGTCATGGCTTGTTTGTTTAAAAAAGGGTACACACTCCAAGGGCCATTTCAAAAATTAAATGTATGCTTCTAAAAGCAGGCCTATGTATTCAATGGATAATATTACCAGTTTTTAAAATGTCTTTCTTTATTATAAAAAGAATAATCAACAAAAGTATAAAAAAAGCTAAAAAATATATTGTTCATTATCTTCTTCCAAAATATGATCTATCATGACATTTATGATTTTCTTAGAGAGATCCAATGTAAAAACTTTATGAAAATCATTTATTGCATGAAAAATGCAAATTTTTTGGGATGAAATGGCTTTATTTGAATGACTGTAAAAGAAAGCAATCAGTTTCTGTCTGGGGGGGAGGACTTAAAAATTTGATTTCATGAGTCTAAAAAAATTTTTACTAGAGGATTTATGATTTTAGCTGTTTGCGCAACAGGAAACTAAAATTAAGAACCAGGAAAAGAAACATAGCTTGATGTATTATAAAAACAATATTTTGATTCCTATATTTAGAAAAAAAAAATTCTGCTTCTTTATCCACATTATGTAAAAGAAATTGAACTCCACAAGGATAAAATCATAAGTCACACATTAACACTAACACCTTTAGTTTAAATCTTTGAAAAAATTAGGAGAGGCAACTAATATATACTTTTTATAGATATTCCAATTATGTGTTTTTCTGATGAGCTACAGTGTTTTTGAACTTTTCCCTTTAGCATAGTGAATATATTCTTTAGATTACTCGTTCTTCTGTGTTATTATTTTAAACCAAGAATCAAAGAATTAATTGTAGTAATTCACATCTGGATTGCAGCTGAGAATTATTAAGTAATTTCATAGTAAATCACTTTCGTTCAGTAACTGTGAATCTAAGAACCATAATAATAATATAAAAAAATCTTTAATGATATTCATATTAACTTACAGAATAAAATCAAGCTATTGTATTTTCTTTTCTTCCCCTTCATTTTTGGTGCATTTTTCCCTGTTTTCATAGTTAAGAATACTTTAATAATCTGATATTGTTAAATATGTTTTTAAACTCACATAGGTGAAACATGTAAATGATTTAGATGCATAAAGATAAGGACAGTTGTATATTCAGTAATATTTGTTAAATCTAAAACATGCAAACACACAGCAGCAGCTACTGGCTTGCGGGAAAAATATAAGAGAAGTTGTAGAACCATGATTATAGTTAAAAGGAATCAGTTAAAGTTTAAATAATATACATAATAAATGTATGCTAAATGTATATTATTTCTTTATTAAAAAAGTTGTATTTGGCATAAATGGTTAATGATGTGATCCAGTTCTACAGATTGAAAGAGAAAATGAAATAAAAAAAATCATGGTGGGTTTTAAAAGATGCTAATTTTTTTGTATCCCTGGTTCTTAAATGTATGCATCATCTTAAAATAATCTTGCAAACAGCTATTCAAAATAATTTTTGTCTGTATGTATATTTACTCATGATGTTTAGCTACTGCATCTTAATCATCAATAATATTATAAGCATGAATCAAAGAAAGTTTAACTTGACTAGATTTTTGGGTATGTTCTTTTCTTAAGGTTTGTATTGATTTGAGTGCAGAAAACAGGGCTAAATTTTACCTAATAACATTTAATTTTTAGTAAGTCCCATTTTCATTTTTAATTTTTACATTTGTGACACTTTTGTTTTCTTGTGTATTCTGTGAAAGTGATTCAAGATGAAATGATTTCGTGCTGCTTGACATAAAATGTATTTAAAAAAATCTGATGCGGACACCACATGACTTCCTTGTATGAAATATTAAAATTAAACGCATTTTTGCTGTATTCATTTAAACTTATTTCCATGAATTTCATTAAAGATAGATTTCTCATTCAATTAATTCAGTTCTCACTTTGCAACAATCCAAAAGCTCAAAATATCTTCATTAAAAATTGAAAAATATAGAAAAACATAAAAACACCAAATACAGTTAAAACAATTTTTAAAAAAATTTACAATTAAAATTAGAGTTTCTACACAAAAACAAGCAATTTGACCAGCAGAAGGCAGATTTTTTGGTGCACAAAAACTGAAAGTTTACTTTTGGTCCCACTCAGCAAAAAGACACTGAAGGTGTAGAAACTGACTTAATTCACTGTTCTGCTAAGTTTCAAAAGGAAACAGATATGTTGTTTGCTATGGTAAAAAAAAATTCGGCTTAGATGCACTTAAACAACTTTTAAATTGTTGATAATTCTGCAAATATTGTATGCAGCTTAACTAAAGGTATAAAAATCTTAACCAGAAGATAAGAACAACATTATTCAAACATTTTTAAAGCAAAAAAATGCACACTTTACCAACATATAAAAATTAAAAAAAAAAAAAAAAAAAACAATGCACCAAGAAGCTGTTATCCGAATGGGATGAAAATTGGTAGAGGTGATGCACATATACAGAAAAACAAATTTTGTTTGAAAAAAATTGGATGATTTATTGAAGTGATAGAGCTTTACAAAGTGAAAATTCACTAACGCATTTCTCTACCTCTGGCCCTTATGCAAGCAGTTATTCGGCTTGGCATCCATTGATAGAGGTTGCAGATGTTTTCCTGAGGGATGTCGTGCCAAATTCTGTCGAACTGGCACGTTAGATTGTCAACATCTCGAGCTGGTTGGAGGACCCTGCCCATAATCCTCCAAACGTACTCAATAGGAGAGAGATCCGGCGACCTTACTGGGCAAGGTAATGTTCGGCAAGCACTAAGGCAAGTAGTAAAAGCATGTGCAGTGTGGGGGCAAGCATTATCTTGCTGAAATGTAAGCCCAGGGTGGTGTGACATGAAGGGCAACACAACGGGCCTTAGAACTTCACTGACGTACCGCTGTGCTGTAAGGTCATGACAGATGAGAACCAAAGGGGTCCTACTATGAAATGAAATGGCACCCCAGACCATCACTCCTGGTTGTTGGCCTGTCTGCCGGAAGACAGTCAAGTTGGTATCACACCGCTGTCCGGGGCGTTTTCAGACTCGCCTTCGCTGGTCTTCAGGTTCAAAGTGGGACTCATCAATGAAGACTGTTCTACTCTAGTCAGTGACATTCCAGTGTGAATGAGCCCGACACCACTGCAAATGGGCTTGACGTTGTACAGACGTCAATGGTAGTCGGTGCAAGGGGCACCGTGACCTCAGCCCCCTTTCTAAGAGCCGTCTATCAATGGTCCTTGCAGTCACTAGTTGCACGTATAATCGATGATAATAATGCATCTGGGGCTGTGAGTACCTGCTATTGATGATTGCTCAGTCTTCACGTTCCTGTCATTTTCTCTAGGCCTACCTGCTTTCCTTCTTTGACCGCTGTGTGCGGACTATGGTTTACCCATTCCTACCAACATCGTCTAATAGTGTCGTCGCTCCTGCTCAAATGACGATCTATTCGCTAATAAGACTTAATACCGGCTTGTTTGAAGCCCAACTACAAAACCTCTCTCATATTCTGACATCTGCGCATATCGTTCGCGCACTTGTATGTGAGGCATAGCTACTGTCTACCAGAGTACATGGAATGAAATTCGTGAAAAATGCATTACCAGAAATCATAATTTCTCTTCTTAAATATCCTGCCAGTTGCGCAGATCAGATGCGCTGTAGCAACAACCGTTCATTCATTGGCAGCCAAAGTGTAAAATTTTGCATTTACGGTCGAAACCTGTATGCATATCAATTTGTGTCCAATTTGCTGTATATCTACTCTGTGCGTCTTTTTTTTTTTTTTTTTTTTTTTTGTCTAAGAGTGTATATATTTATATACTTTTGCTGTGGCCAATTGCAACCAAAAAGGTAGGTGCACAACTACATGTTATAGCAGTCCTGTATACAAAATTTCAACGTTCCGAGGCTACTTGTTTTTGAGTTATACAAGAGATACATACATGCGTACGTACAGACATCACAAAATCAATCTCTTCTGAATCTGGATTATAAAATTGATCTATAAATTAGTCTATCAAATTTATATATAAATCAATTTTATAATCCGTTTTGGGAAAAAGAGTCCTTTATTCTGTCCTTATGTACAGATGTCATGCAAAAACATCGTTAAATTGCATTTAGTAGCAGTCGAAATGGATATTTTCATTGAAATATGATACCTGAAATTTATCATGATTACAATACTTCCTCTGCTTCGTACAAGGAAGTAAAAAAGGGGTGGCTATTGGGACTTATTTCCAGTAACAGTTTTTTTCTTTTTTAAAATAAAGGTTGAAATTTGCAAAAATAATTTTAATGAAAATTCTTTAAAAAAATTATGTCTCCATGAAATAAAATTTCAGTAACTGAAATATTCATTCTGTATTAATCAGTTAAAAATAAGAGTTTGAATACCTTTTTCTGAAAATTTGCAAAGTTATTCAAGAACGAGTTTACTGACATGATCATTTTTCCGTGCTGAAATTCAACAAAGGATAGTCCAATATTTCTCAGTAAATTCATAGCTTACGTTCAGCTGTAATATAAAGCTTTAGTATTATATGAAATAATATAACATAAAATACGAAATAGTGTAATATAAGCTATAATAATATAAATAGTAGCCATAATAGTAAGTGAATTCATGACTATAATATTAGGTGCACATTTTTAGTCTTTGTATTTTACTTGTAAAGATGTGGAACTTCTTGTTTTTAATTAACTAAAGTATATTGAATATATTACTGTAGTATATAATAATGTAGAATGAATATTCAGTTCTAAGATACTTCTCTTAATTTTGGAACCATTAACAGAGCAGTAAACTTCGATTTTTAGAAATAACATAAATAAATTTAAATGTTAAAATACACCTAGAAAATCTGTTTGGTAAATAAATTTCACTTTATTAACAACTGTAGTATTCTTACTTCAGTTAGTAATATGTTATTACTAACTGAATTACTGTTTTAATACTGCTTGTATAAGGAAAAATATGCATCTCAAAATTAAAGAAATATAGTATTTGTAATACTTTTAAATAACTTTAAGTGACTAACTGACTTAAATGACTTACATACATCTTTAAATGTATGTTATAATTTGTGAATCACATTTTTCTGTCTCCCTCTCTTTATTATTAATTATTTATTTTCCGTAGAATGTTGGAATAGAATTACGTAGTCTTTTGGCTGCTGTCGATCACATAGTTCCGCAACTTCCTTCTTGGTCTCACAAAGAGGTATTTTGTAGTTTTTTTGTTAAATGCTTTTTGTTAAATGTAATTTGTTACTGTATGGCACTCACTTAGGAGTAGTTTACAATAAGTGAGCAGAATCTGCATTTATTATTTATATTTCTTCTTTTTGATGATAAATTAATAAAAACTGTTTGTGAAGATTATGGCTATACAGATTGTTTTGAAACTGACATTATATTAATTAAAATGCTAATTTTTCAAACTTTTATTTGATGTTAGCTGATTTACTTCCTTCATAAAGAAAAGGTAAATTAATGCATTATATATATGTGTGTGTGTGTGATGATATGGCAGTCATGGCACATAATTGATGAGGCTGGACATCCAGGCATTTCTGTAGTCATCAAGTCCAGGCATTTCTGTAGCAGAGTGTTAAGGTGATATCCAAAAAAGACACAGGATTTCACTTTTTACTATTTCATATCTTTATTTCAATTTCAGAAGCAGATCAATATTCATTACTAAATAAGGTTACTTTAAATGTATTGCGTTGTAGAGAAAAGGAAGATGGGAGCAGCAGCATAGGTTCTAACAGGGAGAGGGAAGCTTCTGTTTGCAAAATGGCATGCATTCGCATTCTGTTTGCAAAATGGTGTAATAGGCTAGAATGTTGTCGAATGTTGTCTAGGGGGCAGATCCTAAATTGCAGAAAGTTAATTAATTAGAAGTTGCCTGTTCGTATAGAGCAAAGCCATCATATTTTTTATATTTTACACACATATATATATTTATATATATTAAAAACTGATATGGTAGTACAGAAAGAAATAATTTTATTAAATTTTGTAAATGTGAAAATAATGAGTGTATTAATTTGCATCATGTACAACAAGTATAGCCTTTTAAATAAAGCTCAGGTTGTAACAAATAATAGTCTTATTTTTAAACTAAATTTGAAACCAAATATTTGCTATGGTTTGCTTTTTATTAACCAGAAATTTAGTATTTTAAATTACACTATGTGTTTAATAAATGTAAACAATTTCAAACTATTTGCTGTCTGCTTATCATCAAATTAGAAAACAAAAGGAAATAACTGCCTTATGCTACCAGAGAGATTCTACTTTTAGAACAGATAGTAGTTTTTGGGATAGCAGAAAAGACAATAATTAAATGGTGCATTGGGATGATACCGGGCACTGTTGAGAATAGGTAAAACCATTTTGCTGGTGCAAATTAAGATTCCCTGTGTGGATCTCAAAAGATATGCATTACTATATGAATGTGGAGCTCACTGATATGCATTTTATCTGTGAGGTTGTAATTAGAATGGAGCAGCTACTCAAAGCAAGTACAGACAATGATTCTGGAGTACATTTTTTGATGTACCATAATAGCTGCTACCTTTCTCTTCCCAATTGCATAGATGAAATGCATGTGAGTGAGCTCCTCTTGTATCAGCACATATTGCTCAAAATTCACTGATAAAGAACTAGTATAAAATGGAGTCTCAAGCATGTGCAGAAGGAAAAGAAAATCGAGAGATGCTGAAATTGCTCTTCTAGAATGGTTTCAAGCTATGAGACTGAAAAATACTCATTTTTAGAGCTCCTTTGATAATAAAAGCTGTAATTTTCTAAAACATTTGTAGAAAATTTAGCACCAACTGAAGGATGGCTCACAAGATGGAAATAGAGAAATAACATTGTTTTATCAGAAACTACATGGGAAGAAGCAATGGGTGGATCATCACTCAGCTCAGAACTGAACAAAAGATCTTTTACGTAGGCTTAAAAATGAATACAAGCCATATGAAATTTCTAACATAGATGATACTAGTCTGTTTTACAGAGCACACATTAATGTTTAAAAGTGAAACAGCAGCTAGTTTTAAGAAATTAAAAGAACAAGTTACTCTGCTATTAACATGCAATGGGGATACAACAATTAAGAAGAAAGTGTTGGTCATTGACAGCAGAAAACTGATGTTTAACCCTCTGAGCGTTATGACCGACTTTATCCAGTCATCAGAAGTTTTGCTACTTGGCCATATATTAGCTTATAGTTTAAGATATTTTGCTTTCTTACTTTCTTTAATAATGTAAATATCATCTTAATGAATATACATTTATGAAACTAGGGACTAAAATAAGTAATTATACAAACTCAGTTAATAAATGCTGTTATACCGGTCTTCATGATGGATCTAAAATCCTGTGCTGCTCAGAGGGTTAAAAGGAGTCAAGAATTTACTTTTGACTGACCATAATAACAAGAACTCCCAGATGACAGGCAGTATTTTTACTGATTACATTTGAAATGGAACAGGGCATTGAAAAATGAAAAGATTACTTTACTATTAGAAAACTGTGCTGCACACTTTTCTGATATCATTCTGAAAAATTTAATTGGTGTTTCTTTCTGCAAATACAACTTATATCATTCAGCCTTTAGACCGGGGTATTATAAAAGCTTCCAAATGTTATTACAAAACAGGTTTTTTTTTTTTTTTTTTTTTTTTTTAAATGATAAACAAAATTCGGTCTTATGAAAATGTAAGCATCTTGAGGGAGATAACTAAGTGTCAGTATCTTTGCTAGAGGCTGTGTATATTATCATCAGTGCATGGGAAGCAGTCTCCAAAAGCACAGTTTAGAACACATGATTTTGTTTAGAAAAAGTTCTAGAGAAATTTTGGACCTCAGTGTCAAAAATTATAAACATTTTTTTAATATATTGCAGTTGATGTTAATATTGAGAAGGCATGTAAAAACACTGACTACAATATTATAACTGAAAGCTAAACTCAGTGGCACAACAGCCCTAATGGACCATGGCCTGCAGTGCACTGAAATCTACTTTCTTGACCTTGGGCCCTGGAGTGCATCAGCATATGCCCTGGGCAAGTGGTCAGCTTATTGCAGGACCCCCCTGGTGTTTAGTCCCCAAGCAAACTTGGTACTCATTTTATCGACCCACTCAAGGGATGAAAGGCTGAGTCAACCTTGCCCAGCCCAGGGATCGAATCCCTGACCTGTGGTGCAGCTGCGTGATGAGCTAGCCACTTCACTACCGGGCCTACAATATTATAGAAAGTATTAAATAAGCTGCAGAAACTGAAACTCACAGTGAATATGATATGTAAAAAAAGTACTGCATGTCAACCTCAGTTGAATCGAAGAAAGCACTGCGGACTCTAAGAACTCTTGAACTGAATGTTGAAAATCAAAAAAACTACCAGCAGCTTTACGAACTTGAAAATGCAATTGAAAAGCTGTTCATGAACAATGCAAAACAAACACCAGTAGAGCAGGTCTTTGCTAAAGTTTAAATTCATCAGGTATGTAATAAAATCTTTTATGAAAAAAAAAAAATTTAAATAAATTTCAGAATTTTGCAAATGGGTTAATTTTAGCATTGATTTTTAATGAATAATTTAGGTATTAATTATTAGATAAATCATTAGTTAGTTTATTTCATCTGTTCAAATTTGACATACTTGCAATACTGAATCACCATCTATTAAACTCAGCCACTTAATAAACTAAAATATATTTGTAAAAGAAGTGATATGAATAACCGGTGGTACTGTATAAGTTTTAGGTTCGTAATTTGTGAAACTGTTTGCAGAACAAAACAGGCACAGATTTGAATTTCCAGAAGTTAGTTGTATTATGTAATACAATTATTTATATTAGTTAACTGCATAGTTGGTGTTGAAAAAAAAAAGCATTGCAGTGCAAAGTTGTTTATTGTTTAAATCATCTGTGATTGTTTTAAAATTATTTATGTTTTCATAATGTTATAATATAACATTCTATTTACAGAATTTTCTCTATTAACTTTTAAATCATGTTATATTTTATTTGATATAGCAGCATATGGAAACTTATGTTTTGTATTATTCAGTTACGCTATATGGAGATTTTTTTTTTTTTTTTTTTTTTTTTTAAAGATTAGAAGAGAAGGAAATAATTTCTTTTTTTTTTCCTGTAAATTCTTTAATCTGTTCCAATTTCTGTAGATATTAATGATGCTACCATGCATGTCCATGATGTGATAATTCTCATTTCATAAAATATAGATATGTTCATATAAAATATATTTAAAATTTTATTGTGGAAATATTCTTCTGTGCTGTTTATTATGTTAGTTTCCTATGACATTCTACAAAACTTTGATTTTATTTGCTAGATTGAGATGGCTCATAGTGTGCTTAGCAAAGACATGGTGAACCTCGTGCAAGCTATGAAACAAGCTCAGAGATTTGCACAGACTACATTAGACAGTGAATATCGAAAGCACATGCTTTCTGCAGCTCACATAATTGCAGTAAACGCTAAGAACCTTCTGGATACGGTTGCCACTGTCAGAGCTCGAGTTCAGGCAGGTTTGGGGCCAGAAGATCCACCACAAGCAGAAGAAAGTTCTCCTGTTGTTGTAAACAATGATAATATAAAACAGCCTCTGGAATCATCATATTACAATGTGCAGTCTGAAATTGTTAACAAAGACAGTTCTGAAACTACATCCAAAGCTGGAGATGTCAGAGCAGGGGCTTTTGTTACGTAGTGTCGGCTTCTATTTGCTAAAGAATTCTCAGCTTCAGGTGCACGCCTGAATTTACAGAACAAAATTTATAAATATTATTGTATAAGTGTCTCGTATATTTTCTTCAACTATTTTTAATCTTATAAATAGATCCTATGCTGTTAAAATTTTTTTTCCATAGCAGCAAATATTTTATTTTCCATTATTTTTTGTACAAATTCTTCAGGGATTTAAGTATAGTCATTTCAGTGCATTATTAATTTAGGTTAATTATATTTCTTCAGTAAGAGTTTTTACTTTTTAATATAATATTTTGAAAAATTGTGTTGACTCTTATGTTTAGATTATCTAGAGTACAAATGCTTGCACGTTTTGTGTTCTAAAAAGTCTAGAACTTTTAACACTTCATGTTCCTCACTGTTTTGTACAGATGCCATCTTTGTCATTTAGTAATATATTGTTACATCATTTTGTATCTAAAAGTATTTTACAAGATGATTTCAGTATGCTGAAAAAAAATCTATATTTCTTTTTAGTTCCTCCATTTTAGAAATTAATGGAAGTATGTAATCATGACATATTATTTTTTATTCATTTCACTCTATTCTAGAAAGTCATATTCATTTTGAATGTACAGAAAAGTTGTAATATTGTCTCACATATTGTAAGTTTTTCATTTTCTTATGTCCTAATAATTTATAAACTCAAACTAATAGCTTATAAACTCAAAATTTAATCGAAGAGTATAATTGTTGAATATTATGCATCTTTGTTACTTTCTAGTGAACAAACTTTAAGACAGTTTAATTTTCTCTAAAAAATAATCTTAAAGTATTTCAATGTGTTAAACTATGTTAGCATATTTCATTAAGACAGGTTTTAAAAGATCTGTGCTATTAATAAAAGTGGTAAAATTTTAAGTTGTAATTTTTTTTTATGTTAAAAGATTTCTATTGAGAATTCAAAAATAAAATAAAGTGTAAATCGCTTTTCAATATTCTTTTTTTAATTAAAGAATTTAATACAAGTTTATAGTAATTAATATATAATTAGTTACTGTGTGGAAATAAAAATGTGTTAGGTACTCACCTTTTTTATACTTTTTGTAAATGAAGCTATTCTTTGTGTACTCTGTAGTAAGTCTATTGAGCAATTGCAATTTTTTCTATGTGATTATTTTTGTTAGTCTGTGATTTTTTAAGCCTTTTATTGCATATTATTTTTCTTCTACATATTAATTGATACATTTATAGTTGTTTGTATTTTAAAGCATGTTTCACGTTTCATATTCTGCTTTGAATTAGCACAAAAGTGATGTATTTTTTTTCCCTCATATCCAGTAATATTTTTAAAATATCTAGTCAGATGGCAAAAATATTTGATGAATTAATTTGTATATTTATTTCTTATAAAATATCAGATCTAACATTTTCTACCATTATGTCTGAAAATTCAAGTGTTTTTTTTTTTTTTTTTTTTTTTTTTTTTTTTTTTTCAGCGTATTTTTCTGGTACAAAATTTTTGATAACTTTAAAATTATTGAATGATTAAAAATGAATTTTGTTTGTGATTCATTTTAATGATGTACAAGTAAGTCATTGTGAGAAATGCACTTTGGCCAAATATGATATAACACGCAGACAGCAGACCTTTATTATGCTATGTGTTTATTTTATATATTGAATATTTATCTTTAAGAAAACTGAATTTTTTTATTACTTAAATTCTTTTGCCCAATAGAGATTTTTTAAGAGTACTTTATTAAAATTCATGTTAATTTTGAACTTGATGCGAATTGTGACGATTTTGCCAGCCCCTTGATTGTTAACCGTGATGGCTCTGAAGAGTTCTAAACTGTGGGGATCTCACTAAAGGAGAAACTGTAGGAAGATAGATAATAACAACTGTAGAAAGATAAACAATCTTGCACTAAGGTATGTATTATATGGTTATATTAGTAACAAAAATTTGAAAATTATCAGTTGAATTAATCATAAGTTATCAGTGCAAGTTTTATAAATTAAATTTATTTTAAATTATATCAGCTGGATTTATCATTAAAAAAATAAGGATGTTAGTTATTAAAAAGTGCGTTTATTTTTAATTTCTCGGTCACAAATATAATTTGAAAGATAAAAGTCTTATGAAACATTGAACAACAGCACTCTTAGGAACTGTTTTTTTGCCAGGCATTATGAGAGATGCATCAAAGATCTTATGTCTTGTGTGCTGGTAACACCAGCAAAATTATGTGGATAAATTGGATTATTAACATAATTAATAATAATTAATTTGATTACAAGGCACTATAAATCTGCCTAAGGGAAGAAATACCTTTGTGGTGGAATTTTTAAGGGAAATAAATATTACGTATGGGACAACAGCAAAAACTTTCTTACAATCAGCCCATTTATCATAATTTGAACCTGGGTCAAATTACTAGTGTTCTGTTGTCCAGTTGTCTGCTGATAGGTTTATGTGCAAAGGATGAACATCTGTATAAATGGAATGTGATATAACATAGAAATTATGGAAGGACTTTACTGTAGACATTTCTAATATCAACAAGAATGAAGTAATTGGAAATTGAAAAGTTGATTTATCCTTTAAAATGCTAATAAGTGACTAAAATTTCAGACTGAAATGTATATTTTCAATTTTCTCGTAGGTTCTGCCTTTGCACTAATCAGGCACCTAACTACATAAACTCTAAATTTTTATAAATGGAATCAAAATTGAAACTACAGAACAAGCTGATCTTCTGTACGTTATCATTGTTGAGTGTTTGATGCAATGTTATGACATATTTTAGTTTTGTTAACAGTTTTATGTTGATTATTTTTTATGCCTTATTTTATCACATATTAAAATACTAAACAATCTTGCACTAAGGTACATATTGTATGGTTTATCACATATTCATTATGTCCAGAGATTTGTGTAGATTTTTATGGCAAGCAGTTTAGATTAAAGTGAGAAGGAAATTATAACCAGAAGATTCTGAGTAGAAGTTTGGCAGCTTCTGCTGCTGTTTGCCTAGAAATCCAATGATCAGAGTAGATCTGAACACACTGATATTGTAATGGTTGGTAAGTGTTGAAAGCTGATTGCGTTTTATCTGTTCTTCTAAGTTAGTGTTGAAAGCTGATTGCGTTTTATCTGTTCTTCTAAGTTAGTGTTGTATTTCTCTGTAGAGTTTTTGGATTTATAACCACCTAATATGCTGTAGAGTTCCAGCAAGTCATTGTTCCCAAGAAGTGAATAATTTGTTCTGTATTATTTTTAGTAAGACCTGTCATTTGTGAGGAATAAAATTTTATGTAAACTTTTCAACTACTGAGTCCTTTTCACTTTTTGACTCCCAGTAAGAAGTAAACAAAGGTGATAACTTGCAGCACATAGAGGTATCTTGTAATGATGAGCAGTTGCTTATAAATATTTAATCAAGTACGTGGGCACCTTTACTTCTAGGGCAGGGTTTCTTAAACTGTATGTGCGGGGCCTGCAGCAGGGTGTCGCCAAAAATTTTAGCAGTTTTGATGTTCCTTTAAACTTATTAATTCCTATAATAATTTTACAGTTACCAAATATTTTTACACAATGTATCTGAAAATATATAAAGTTAAGACAATACAGACAAAGAAAAAAACAAAAAAGTTTCGATGCATTCTTTTTATAATATAAACGTTTATTTTCCTTGCTTTGCGCGTGACGCTGTCATTTCATCTCTTACTTATTTAAAATTTTCACATTGTTCTTAAAATCAGAAATTAAAGTTAATGACCTAAAATTGCAATAGTATATTACAGTACAAGTGAAAAAATTAACAGTTTCATTCACGTGCGTATCGGATTTGCGCGATACATATGGGATCCCACAAAATTTTTGTAAATATTATCGTGTCCTGGGGGGTCGCGAAAAAATCTCAGTGATGAAAAGGGGTTGCAACTGAAAAAAGTTTAAGAAATCCTGTTCTAGGGTAAGTTTGTGTTAAAGAAATTAGAATTGTGCAGTTTTAATGATCAGGTATGTTTTCTCGACTAAATTTGTGCGATCATGGGAATATTTGAGTTGTGGTGGTATAATTTTTAATTATTTAATTTCTCTTAATTATTTAATTAAATTTAGTAATGTTATTTATCTGTCTATATAGTTATGCATAATTTATAAATGGCAAGTTTAATGTACATAGAATGTATGAAAATCAATTGAATGCATGTATAGTGAAGGAAAATCTGAAAATTCAGAATATATTCTCTATGAATGAAAAATAGTTTTTATTACAAGACATTTAGGGAGAATGGCTTAATAATCTCCTGTAAGTAAATTAATTTTTTCCCTTAATGTTCTTTAATGAATATTGAAAAGATAGTGTATGATATGTTCCCTTGATTTTCAGTAGTGTTTAGTCAGTCATATTGATAGAAATACGTTAGAAGTTTAGCTGTGAGGATTTGAAATTATATATAAATAAGGAGAATCTATGTGAAAAATTTCTTTGAGGTTTTCTTCTCCTCCTTTTAATATTAAATTTGTGTTTGGAAGGATTATAATTTTTTTAATATGGTTGAATGAGAATTTATAATTAATAAGTTAAAATGTTATAATATATGTTACCTTACAATAGGGAATGTATTCTTTTCATAATTTGAATAAGCAAATCTGTTATAAAATATTTTAACACATTGTATCAAATATTAAATATGTGCTAACACACTTTATTTTCCTGCTTTAAATTCAATAACCAAACTAGGAAACATTCTTGCATTTTCTACTTAATTCCATAGCATAATATTGGTCTGTTGCCATAGTATTTTAAGCTTCTCTGTGTATACTTAAAAAAAATTCTATTAAACAAGTTTTCATTTTTTAGAAGTTAATATATAAATAGGTTATGTGATTATTTTTTTGAAGTAAAAATTGGATTGTCTAACCTTCTGAGTAGCGTGACTGCTTTTACCTGGCCAAGTAATTTGTTGCCTCCTTGCATTTGAAATATATTGCTTTCTTATTTTCTTTAATGAATTAAAGATTAAACAAAATTAAAAAAATGATAAAACAGGCCATTACGTAAATATGGGCAATAAGTGCTGTGTAAAAACTTATGATCAAAACTATACAGCCTAGCAACTCAGAGGGTTAAAAGGCATTTATTTTATGTGATGAAATAATTGTATTTATCTCATCTTTCTCATTAGCAAGTTAGCATTTTGTCAGATGTATTTAGACATATTGATATTTACATAGTTTATTTAATATTTTTGTTTTGTAACTTTTTATACTCTATTATTGTTTTGTATTCAATTGGCCTAATGTATAGCATGCGATAGAAAAAAAAATCTAGTCTTATGTTAAATGCTTTATTGTAAATTGAATTGTCTTCTTTATATCTAAAATTTAAATATTTATATCTGTACATTAAAAGGCATTTAAATGAACTGTGTTGCAATTTCTTGAATTTTTAAATTTTGGGGTTCATTACAAATACTCTGACGTGTGTACTCAAGTGATAATAATGCTTACGTTTTTCATAATAAAAAATTAGTGGTATTTTCTCTATGTAAAAAATGGTATTCTTCACAATAAGAAACTAAAAATATTTCTTATGGCAAGTATTGCAATTGAGAAAGAATATTTTTTTTTAAGATTTATGGGTTAGAAAAAATTTTACATAGTCTTTTAGTTAAGCTATTATAGAATGCTCAATATTAGGTTTAAGATTAAGACAATTTTTGCTTTTGCCTTAATTATTACTTAAATTTCTAATCAAGCAGAACTTTTATTTTATGGGGAAAAAGAAAACGTAATATGATTAACAATAACACATTCATAACTTATGAACTTGAATAATTCTCTCATAACTATTATAATAAATAGTTAATCAAATGACTAGTAAACAGAAAATTGTTTTAAAAATTCTTATTTCATCAGTGGCTTGCAATTGCACATTGAATGTTCAAATCAGTAACTAGTTAAACCTGCCCTTCTGGCGGCGACACATACTTGTAAATGTTGAGCTAAGGAGTTGTAAAGTTGCCTAATATCATCCCGGAATTCATTCTGCCAGACATTCCTCAGTTATTGCTTCAAATATGCAATATTTTTTAGTGCCCGTATCTGGCAGCCAACCATATCTCATGCATCTTCGATTGGCGAGAGATCTGGTGACCCTGCTGGTCAAGGAAGAGTATCAACAGCTTGTAGACGGCCCAGAGATATGCGAGCCGTATGAGAAGTATTAAAATATTATGCAAGATAACTATGGTCATCTTACTGTCATAAGAGATAGCACATCACAACAGATCTATGTGCCTCTGCAAAGCAAAGGCTGATTGGGACTGCACGCTCTGGCCCCTTCACAAACAGACCAGATGGTCATCTGCTCCCAGACTGTAGCGGCATTCATTGCTCAACACTAAGATGCTAATCGACTGACAGCCATGATGATCGGCAACGGCACCACTTCAGAAGACTCTATGAATGTTGTGGAGTTAATGGCAGATTTCTTAAAGGCTGCTGGGAGCACAATCGTCCGATCTTGCTTCGCATTTGTGCACCTACACCTTCCATGCCCCCCCAAATCAATAAATAAAATAAAAAAAAAAGCAAATGAGTACCTTTCAGCAACCATTGTTGCGAGGAACTTTGCACAGCCGCTTCTGTATGGTGCATCTGGTGGCCAGTTGCGTGGGATGAACAGTCCACTTCACCTGAGCTTGGGACTGCCCACGATGCAATCACATTCAAAGTCTTTCAGTTGTCTCTAAAGTCCTCGACCACCTTGTAACAGCATTATTGTAACAGATTGTGTAACCAAGGGATTGCATCGTCAGCAACGAAAAAAGCAACGAAAAATCGTTTGCAATTGTTACCTCTGCGTATGCAGCAGAAACGAGCACTATAACCAATACTCTCTGGCCTTGAAAATGTAGTCATTTGTAAACAAATTTCGAGATAATCAAATTATTTGTAATGCTTTTTTTTGGGGGGCGGTCAAAAGTGTATGTGCGTGTGTTGCAGCCATCTGTACTAAAACTATGGCTTGAGGAATGAATACTAGTTGGGCCAGCTCAACATCTTGTTACCTAATCTGTTAACATTTTTGATCTAATCTTGTTTTCTCAGAGTTGACAGAGTTTCCTTGAGATCTATCTAAACTTTGATCTGATTTGTTCAGGATTGCCTGTAGAAGTACCACCCATTCCTACACCAGAGCAGCTTTTAATTCCTGAATGGTTCTGGGGAGGGGGTTGGCATATTTCAGTAGCTCTCCCAAGAGCATCAAAAGCATGTTCAATAGGATTAAGGTCAGAAAATTTGTCTGGCCAATCCATTTGTTGAATATCCTCGCTTTCCAGATAATTATCAATCGGGTGGATCCTATGTGGTCGTGCATTGTCTTCTATAAAATGAACTCGGAGCCAACAGAACTCCTGAAAAGTTGAAGGTAGGTCTAAGATCTCCTGCCTGTACCTCTCTACATTCACCAGACCAGAGTTAAACACATGGAGTGTGGGTATCTTGCATGATCCAGCCCATCCTTCACCACTAGATTGATCCCTTTCCTTGATGTTGCTTTAATGGTATCGAGTACCAGGGTTCTCTCTATACCAATAATTGCCTAGAATCAAGTTGTAGACTGAATATGAACTCATCCGTGAAGAGAACATTAGCCCACTGAAAATGTGCCCAGTGTTGGTGTTGAATGCATCATTGAAAACACTCTCTTTTGTGGGAGTGAGTGAGTGGGATGCAAATAGCAGAGCTTTCAGGCATATGGTCTTTTCTCATGGAGTCATCTGGCAACTGTCTTCCTTGAAACTGATGTTCCTGTGCCAGTAGTGAGGTCACGAGACTGTTGTGTGGCTATAGACGTCTTCTGGTGCTTGCCTGAAAGTACCTAATGCTGGTCTTCATTGGTCATTGTGGCTCATGGGTGACCTTGTCTGGTCTTCTGGACACTGTCCCGCTGTTTTCAAACCGACTCCAGAAATTAGAGATGGCATTTTAGTTACATCCAGTTCTTTTGCAACCTGAGCTTGGGACTGCCCACGATTCTCCATCTCATACCTTCGTCTAAGCGACAACATGTACTCATTTCACATAAAAGGCAGCAAAAAAAAAAAAACAACAACAAGATCATTCAAGAAAGGCTATAAAATTCACTACTGTGTTTCAGAGCGAAATGAGCTGAGCAGCTGGACGCAGACTTTTATACCTCGTGCTGGTGTAGAGACACCCACATGAATAAGTAAACTCATCTCAGTGACACCAGCCCCACAATGACATTATATGGCAAAAACTGTCCAAACTTTGTGTGGTAGTTTAGCAAAAATGTGGAAAATTGTTTTCCATCTCTTAATTTTTTTCCACCATTCATTTTTTCCATGTCATGCCATAAATTTCTTCGGATGTACCTTAAAGGTCTTGCTTGAAAAAAAAAAGTAAACCAAGAAGCACAAGAGAAAGCAACGTAGTCTAACAAGTATTATTATGACACTTTAGGGCTGCTTTTAGGTCACGGTGATGAACTTTCTCCAAGCCATTTGTGGAAGAATGATACGGCGAAGCACGAATTCGGCGTATTCCAATCGGAGATAAATTGTCGAGCTACAGATTCATCAGTGATACTTTGTACAGGAAAAGCTTCGAGCCATCGAGTAAATCTGTCAACGCAGGTGGGAGCAGATCATGGGTTACCCTCAGATGGAGGTAAAGGACCAACAATGTATATATGGATGTGGTCGAATCGCCTGGACAGCATGCTGATTTTTTTCAAGGGACTGTCCATGCCCAGGGCTTAATTTTTAAAATCAGAAGTGTCGGAGCTCTATGGAACACCGTTAGGAAGAAAGGGGAAAATAAATAAATAAAATAATTTAAAAAATAATATATATATATAAAAGAAAATCTGAAAGGTTTTAGATTTTAAATTATGCACAAATGGGCATTTTTTTAACATTTTGTGTGTTACCTTTATTTATTAAATATCATGTTCTTCACACTTAAACCATACAAATCAGTTCAAGAGCAATATTGAAAAAGAATTTTAAACTGAGCATATCTTTAGAATTTACGATACACGGTCTCACATGCTGGAGATAATTTTTTTTTTCTTTTCTGTACAACGTTGCCATTGCTTGCCTTGAAATCCTTGAGTTTGTTAATCAAAAATTCTTTAAAGTTTTACAAAATTTGAAATAGATAACAAAATAAATTCCAAATTAGGGCTTCCAGATGCCCATATTAGGGTGGAGGATTACATTATTCCGAATTTGATGGCTCTAGGTGCCGTTGTTTTATCAAAACGCGAGAAACATTTATGCAGATTCTTTGTTATTTTACTGCTTCACTGAATAGAGTAAGTTTCCTTTTAAGGTGTGATTTTACAGCTAAAGCTATATCATCTGCATAACAGGCCTAAAAAGTGGTTTCTGTCTAGTTGTACTCTAGGAAAATTTGCTACATATAACAGGTACAAAATGGGTCCCAAACTGGACCCCTGGGGGACTCCAGCATTCATAATCATGATATTTGTCTTGTTATTCCCAACAGAAACCGAGAAAGTCCTTCTGTAATGAAGGAAACTACTATCTGAATAAGCTCCTCCTGTCCATATTGCAGTTAATTAATTTGAGATAAGCTCTTCATGCCAGACGTGGTTGAAAGCTTTCGTCACATCCAGCATGAAAGTGTGGCAGCATTTTGATGGTTATACAGTGCCTCACCACAGAATTCTACTAATTGTTTTGTAGTGGATAATTTGCCGAACTGTTCAGATGGTAAAACATTCAGGAAAGGCTTGAGTCTGTTGAAAATGATTATTTCATAAATTTTACCAAGATTTGAGAGTAGACTAATAGGTCTACTCTCAGTTCGGGTTACATCTTTGCCTGGCTTTGGAAGTAATATTACTTTTGCATGCTTCCATTTATTTGGGAAATAGTTGCTATTAAGGCATGCGTTGATGATGCTAGTGTATTTCGTAACGTTCGAGGGAAGTTTCTTGCTACGTTGTTAATTGCATCATGACTTGGAGCTTTTTTGGCCTTTAATCTCTTTATTAACTCCTTGACTCCCCCAGGTGTGGCAAAATTTGGCAAGTTTCTTACTGTTGGTGAATTCAGGCAATCTCTGTTACTATAACATACATCATAAACAAAGTTAATGTTTCTTGGGATTCTTTTGGGCATAAATTGCTGCTCTAAGTGATCATCAAGGACATGAGCTTTGTCTTCATTTGTGATGGCTATGCTATTATCAGTGTCAATTAGTCTATTGCTGCTCAGCTTCATTTTAAGATTTTTAATAAAGATCCATAATGAATCATCAACAGGATCTGAACTTCAAATTTTTTCTTCCGAAATTTCATTATGGTACTAATCGATCTCCTTTTTAATTTGGTTAGTCTATTTAAATCCTTTTTTAGCTGACGGTTCCAAGTTAAATGCCAATGCTTTCTTAATCTATTACATGTTTTTATCAATTCACAAGTACTACTTGGCAGCTTTCCTGCATAATGCTTTATTTATATATCTTGAAGCACAGTCATTGGCATTATTTATTTCCCTGGTAAGTTCTTCAATCTATGGCTTTCCTTGAATTTAAACTACCAGTAACCGGAGAATTATGCTGTAGTAAATCAAGAAAATGATTCCAATTTATGATTTTAACTTTTTCATTATTATTAATTTTGGAGGTGCCCCTGGGCCCAGGGTGACTAATAAAGGAATATGATCTAAGGACAACTCATATTTCACCTCAAGTGTCACTGGGATAGATGTGTTAGTAAAATATCCGCTCTCTGAAGAAAATTTCGGAGCTATCGTGGTTGGCCTTTTATACCCTTGTTATGTTCTAGAAATTTCCAACCTACGCAATTACAGTAAGCTGTGCAACATTACTTGGTAAGTAATGTTGCACAGCTTACAATAAAGTTGTTACTAAGCCACTAAGGCTTAGTAACAACTTTTGCATACGCTATTACAGGAAATTGTACATTAATAACTACACAGGACTTTTCCAAAGCTGCCCAAGAGTTACAAAATCAGTCTTGAACTGCGCACTTTCGAGAGTTTTCCAAACATAAAAATTATAGTTTTGAATCACCCACATTCTAAAATTTTCCTAAATAGTACATGACCGCGAGTGGCTATCTGAATCGATAAACATTAAATGGATTCTGTGCAAAGGAAATGAATTCTTTTACATTTCTAATTAAAATATATTCAGAAAAAACTATTTATGTACTATCTCTGTGCATTGTGGAATATTTTATGTTTTAAACATATTGATGATTTTTAACCCTTCGATTTGAAAATGTAGAGAAAAAGACGAACAAATCTATGGCTTATAAAAAACAGACATGGTTTGAACTGGGTAAACGGTAGCATCCCATAAAGTTGTTTAGTATCTGTGGTAATTAACAAAAGATGTAGAGGATCTATTCTGAATAGGATATGAGAAAGCAAAATTTTTTTCAAAAAATGTGTCAGCGACCAATTAAGGAAATTTGTGTACCTGCTGGAAGTATATAGTGGAAACAACCCCCTATATACGCTAATGAACTGTGTGCAAGAAAAGGGTTAAACATAAAGAAAATATCATAAATGGAAATTTTATAGTTAAAAAAGGACATTATCCACATATTAAAGGCACCATATGTTTTGGAAGAATTATCATCATTATTTTCCTCTTCAGAATTGCTCTCTACACTTATCTCCGATTCGGAATCACCTTCTCTTTCTGAAATTCGCTCTTCTCCATCTGTAATGCTTTCATCTAAAATAATGTCCTCATCGTCATCACTGTCACATAAAAGCATACAGTCAAAAGTCGTTAATTCGGACACCCATAATCCGGACCTCAAAGCTACAAACTTTCTGCGCATGCGTCGCTTTCACGCATGCGCACAGGCATTTACGAGAGCGCGTAAGACCCTTACGGCTGCGAATATGTTTGTGCGCATGTGCGTTTAATGTGTAACGGAGTTATACGCTAAGCTAAAGTTATCTAATTCAGTTAATGTTGCAGATTGCGTTGTTCCTTAATCTTTGAATTGGATCCGGCTTATTATTTTTTGCAGACTGTTAGAGCAATTTTATAAAAGTAAGCTTGAACTTTCGATTATGTCAAATAGAATTTCCGATATATATTTACTACAAAGCGAAAGTATGTTTCGAAATCCGGAAATCTGTTTATCAATTTCACGCTGCTCTGCGGCAGAAAGGGGGGGGGGCATAAATGTCATTATTAGATTATGATAGATTAGAAAGATATGTCAAATAGAATTTCCGATATATATATTTACTAATATGTAATTTGTATCTACAAAGCGAAAGTGAAAGTATGTTTTGAAATCCGAAATCTGTGTTTATCAATTTCACGCTGGCGGATTGGAAGTTGATCTGTGAGCACTATCCTTATCTTCAGAGCAGATGTTTTTATTTTATTTGGATTTATAATTCCGTACTAAGTGTAGTATTCATCTCGATGTACTCCGTCTTTGATATGATTTAAATCAAGTTCCTCGTCATTATAATTCGCTTCCGATAGTGAAGAAAGTGACCCAGAGGTTATTGAAAACGAAACATTTCGATTGACAAATTAGTCGGTATTCTCAACACAGCAAATTATAGGACTGAACAGCGGAAACTTTGTAACTAAACAAGAAATTATGTCTGTTTAATAGAATTAAAGAGAAAGTATTATCACATGAAACGAAGCAACTTACATTGAAGGAAATGTTTAATAAAGTAAACAAATAAATATTAAGCTTTTTCTTTTTGTAAATTTTGATACCCTTTAGATCATAATTGTTCTTTATTTCATAAATTATGGTTTCATATTTTTAATTTGTAATTTCTGCATGCCATCTTACCAGATTTAAACTGATGATCTATAATCCGGAATCGCCGAAGTCCCGAGGAGTCCGGATTAACGACTTTTGACTGTATTTCTTATAATCTCAAGCTCCTTCGGATCATTCATGTCAAGCATTTTACTTTAATTCACTATAACTGAGAAGAACAAAAATATCATATATGGTCGCACGTATGTGATGTATACAGTGCTTCTATTTTATCATTAAAAGTAATTATGCACACAAATTATATAAAAGCATAAGATTTAGATGCAAAAGAATAAATTTTTTCTATAATGAAAGAGGAAATTAGATAGTATAACAAAAACTTACTTCAACGGTCGCACGTATTTCTGGAATACAAATAGTAAATCTGCAGACTAGCATTAACCCCTCGAAATCCAGCAGACGACTGAAAGAAGGGTGAGTGAAGAGGAGAGAATAGCCAAAGACACGCGGTCATAGCACCCTCTGGCCTATGAAACAATTGTGAAATTAATATCTAGTGTATTTCACACATACGCGCGGCCGCTGGAAGGTTTAAAAAAAATAATGAGAAGAAAGCTCAAAAAAGTTAAAACTATTATGGTAACCAGAAATGAGGTCTCATTGCCAAAATTTTTCACTAATCCAAGGAGCACCCAATTCTACACTAGAGAAAAATAAATAAAGTAAAATAATCATGTAATAATGAGCCCATTTCTTGACAAAGGTATCTATTTAATGGAAAAAATTAGTAAAATTCAGATCTGTCTTTGAATATCTTTCAATGTTATAAAATTCCAAAATATTCCTCTTTTTAACAGTGCAGTTTCTACGGAAATTGTGAAAATATAAAATCAAAGAGCCAATTTTATAATTAATATCTTCATTGCATAATTTCGAAGTACTTCCAAAACTATGAAAATCCATTACCATCATATAAATGAAATCAATAGATATTCTCATTAAATAGAAACTTAATTGCAACTATCTGATTACATAAAAAAAAATTTTATAATAAATTATTTTGCTCAGACTTATTTTTAAAAATTTTATATATATGTTCATGTATTGCACAAAAACAGATGTTACAAATATACTCTATCAACAAAAGTAAATTTGTTTTTTGGGTAAAGTGCAGAATCGGCCACTTATTTGTTTGGTGCTTTTTACAAGAGTAAGAAGCATTAGATTTTTGTCAATTTTCTTTGACTTTTTAAGTGGAAACAGGTCAATGTGTACATGGATAAAGTCATGGGAGTGCGCAATGCCATTTTTGTGCAATTCTGGGATTTTTTTTAAAGTGAAAATAGGTCGATGTGTACATGGATACCGAGTATATGCAATTCTTAGAAATGCACCAAGCAGTGGGTGATTCTGCACTTTCCCCATTTTTTGAGCAAACTTGTACTATTTTTGAAAGTAATCTTAATTTAGCACTCTTCATTTTAATTTTTTACGCCTATTATTAGATATTAAAAGCAATTCTTTACAAATGTTGATATAATATGCTTCCTCGACAAAATTAAATTTATGATTGATCAAACTCGTACCATTTCTGAAAGAACTACCAACTTAGTAATACTCATCTTCACTTTTTAAACCTTTAACTAGGTAAAAATAAATAATAACTGTTGCTTTTTAAAGTACTTCCACAATTTATATTAAAAACATCCTTTCACAATGAGAAGCAATTGAAGCATGCTTTTTATGAACTCTGTGAGCTTTTTTAAGCTTCATGACAAGAAAAATTTTTTCAATCAGTATGCACAAGCCTGTTTTTCGTGTCATTTATGAGTGTGAAAGCTAAACATGTTTTGATGTTTATAATGCCAGAATGAATGAAAAGTGGTTAAAATTTGGGAATCAGTAGTTAGCATACATGTCAATTACCTAAAATAGACTGCTACCTTTAAATCATTTTCATGGGTTATGTTAAAAAAACATGTACAACCTTCCAGTGTTTCACAATGAACATGATTTTTGATGACTCTTAAAAGACAGTTAATGGAAATTTCTTTCAAATTATGAATTTAAACTCAACTGCAAATTGGTTTTTTTTAAGCGTCATGACAAGAAACATTTCTTTAATTAGTATGCACTAACTTGCTTTTCAAGTCATTTATGAGTGCAAAAACTATGTCTGATAATAAACATGTTGTAATGTTAGAATGAATGAAAAGTGGTTAAATTTGGGAATCGATAGTTAGCATACATGTCAATTATTTAAAAGAGACAGCTGCTTTTAAGGTATTTTCACTGGTTATGTTAAAAAACATGCATTTACTTTCCAGTGTCCTAGGTGTTATTTATATTTTTTAATATTCGTGTTTAGAATCTATTCTTTGATATGAATAATTGTATGACATTATATTGAGTTTTAAGGAAAAAAACTAGTAAGCATGCAGCCTTTTCATATTTCTTTAGTGCTTTATCAAACCACTCTTTATAATAAACACTTATGTTTAAAAATATGTACATATGATTATATTACTAAGGGTATACAAATATTTCATCATGACTAATATTATGTACAGGGTCATGAAAACATTGACTTAGTGATTACAGATCTCTTGGTATGTTTAAAAATACTATTAATTTTACATACCTGTTCAGAATGTCTTGTTAAAAAAAATTAAGCAACACTGAGAAATTTTTAATCGATACAACGCAATGCTAAAACAAATTCATTAATGATGAAAGATACACATAAAATTCCATCAAAGATGAATTCGATTTAACCAGAATTGAAAAGTACACTTTGTTTTAATTTCATCAAGTCTGATTTAGTGATGATTAAAAAAAAAAAAAAAAATCGATGTGTTTAGAACACAAAATATTCCACAATGCAAAGAGATTGTAAATTAACAGTTTTTTCTGAACATCTTTTATTTTAATTGGAAATGTAAAAGAATTCATTTCCTTCGTACAGAATTCATTTTAGAGAGAATACATATTTTTGAACACATCAAGGCTTGAGTATAAGTTCAAGTTGGCCTTGGGACAGATATCTTGTTTTGCACCCGCTAAGTCGTTTTGCACCGAAGGGCGAAAAATCAAGCTAAAAGACTTTTAGCTCTAGTTGTTTGAGTGACGTCATTCGATTCGAAATCGAAACTTCGAAATCTGTAATCTGAAAGTGAGGTTATTTTGAATTAAGGTACAGGGAATGTCGGGAAATTAATCGTATTTTGAATTGTATGTTGCAATCTTACATTAGGCTAATGTCGTTTAGTTTTAAATTTAACTGGAAATTAAGTAGTGTATTTTTCTGACATTTGCATTATTTAAAGGAATATATTACTTCTTTTTTATTAATCCGTTTTCTGATATTAATATTCTTTGAACAAAATAGACTTGCAATAGAACATGCAAATAGTGTTATGTCGTAAAGGCTATGTATTCATTCGTTGCTTTAAGTATTTATTTTTTCCTAATCATATTTATTTTGTATCATGTTACAAATATTAAAAAATTATCACACATGATCTGCATTTAAATTTTGATGCTTTTTAAAGGAACAGGGTAAACAGTTTCATTTGTAAATACTTTATGCTTTTTCATTGCTGGGTATTGGTTAACTCAAATTTTATCATTTGAAACGCAAAATTAATTAAAAATATGTAGTTTTAATTTGTAGATGATACATGAGTTTTATTTATTTCTGTTTTAACTTCTGTTAAGTATCATTTTTTTTTTAGGTGTCAGTTTTAACATATTTTAAACTGTAACTAATAGAAATGCCTATTTTGTAAATATGTTGTAGACCTCGTATAATTTAGAAACTAGAGGAATAAAAAACAATTTTGAATTTGTTAGAAATTTTCAAAACATTCATTGCTTTGTTCAGGAACAAAAATCATTTTAAACTTACGAGGTTTAGAAAAAATTTCTGAAATTTTTATAAATTTCCTTATTATGGACTCAGTGGTGTTATTAAGGGTTTGCAAGGAATGCTGTCACATAGGGACCCGAAGGCTTAGTGGGCCCTTGAATGTCCTGCTGAATTACATTTACATATTTAAACTTAAAATCAGTCTTCTTTTAAGTTTTTAAGAGCCCCCTACATATACTATGATGCAGATAGGAAACCCTTGGAAGCAGATGAAACAGCTAAATTCAGTGTTTCACACACATAAATTTCAATTAAAAGCAAAACAAAAAAGCTGTATGCTTTCATTTTGATTTCCCTCTAGAGAACAGCATTCAAGTTATTACTGATAACTGGGGCTAGGCTGTGAGAACAAATTCTGAATTTCTTGAGGTGAGCATGTGCAGTGATGCAGTGCAAGGTGTAAGAGAGCTACATAAGTATTTTGAAATTCTTTAAAATATTTATGTGTTTTTCAGAGAATGTTTTAAAAGGTTGAGTTTACTTTCTTCGGGAGACTCTCTAGTAATATCTCTGATCTATCTAAGAAGCTGAGTTTATTACTAATAAACGGGACACAGAAGTTAAATTTAAAAATGAAAGAAAAATAGAGACAAAAAAAAAAAAAAATTGATGAGTTATATGAGGATAACAGGTTTAAAAATTCTGAAATATTGTGTAAAGTAAGTTCTTTATGTTGCTGTCGATATTTTAAATACTCAGTTAAAATGTAGAATGACTGGAATGACAAAAATCAAAATTACGTTTTCCTTTTTAGAATTCAAAACTCTGTCATCATTAACAGATTTGGAAATTATTAATAATGTTTAAAAAAATACAGAAAACATGTGAAGAAGACTTTACTAATGCTTCTGAAGTACAACTGCGGTTATTTATAAATACTTTCAGAACAGAAATCCAAAATTTGAAATCCACTAAGAATTAAGCAACTACCATATTATGATATGGCAAGCAATTATTCAAAAGTGTGCAATTTTTTTTTATATTGTATTTATCATTACCTCTAACTACAGTCACAAGTGAGAGATAATTTTCAAAACTGAAACTAATAAAAACATATTTGAAAAATACTACGGCGCAAGATCGGTTGTCAAACCTATCACTATTAAGCGCAGAAGTTGAGATGGCTAAGAAAATGGATGTCCAGGTATTGATAAATAATTTTGCGGAAATGAAGATCTGGAAGCAAAAATTTTTATAAAGAAGGACAGTATGAACCAAGAAAAATTAAAAGAAAACGGGAAAAAAATTTACCATACACATGATACATGTGTTTTATATTTAACAAATGCAACATTTACATTATAAAAGTTCTTATTTAGGTGCTACTTTGGTAGACGGTTGCACGGATTTTGGCGAGTTTTTGGCAATTTTTCTTTTGGCGAGTATTACGACTTATGGTAAACCCATTGCTGGATAAGTTATTTATGGTAACCGATACTTTGTTGACATTTTATTTTAAAAATAATGCATGTTATTATGCATAAATTCTGTGTTTTAAATATTATTATGGCTTCTAAATATAAAAAATCAATTTAATTTTGCATTTTATTTGAAATAAAAATTTTATTCTTTATATATTTTATGAAATTTTTATGCTGTGGATGATGTAATCAATGACGTCACCTTACTTTAAAAGTAATTGGTTTTAATATCTATAAATTTAATCTAATGTTTTAAACATTATTTATGGCTGTTAAATATTAAAATACAATTTAATTTTGCATTTCTTTTTTAAAATGATTTATTATGTATGATTATTTAAATAATTTAATTCTAGGCGTGATGTAATCAGCTCTGATTGGTTTTAGAATATTTGTGCATTAATGAGCTGTAATCAGCTCCCTGATAGGTTGCTGAAAATTTGAGCATTACCGCGCCATTTTAAAATTTAATTCATATCTTCGAATTCCTTCAAAAATGTCTCAAAGATGTCTTCAAAGATGAATGTTTTAATCAGCTCCCTGGTTAGTTACTGAATATTTGTACATTACCGCGCCATTTTAAAATTTTATTATTCATCTCTTCGAATTCCTTAGATTTCATAGAAAACCGATATGTCCCTCTCAAAGATTAATGTTGTTATTGTTAAGTACCAAGAATTTTTGGTTTCGGAATCAAAAAATTGTCCTTAGAGACCTTATTTTCGCCAGCCTGGCTTTCCTAATCAAAGATTTATTTATAAATTCTTACAAGGGTCAGAGGAAATTTTTTAAATTTTTGAAGGAAACGTCGCTAATTGTTTCTTCAATGAAGTGCGAAAGTGTAGATCATAGATGAAGACCGTTAGAAGAGCCGATTCTGAGACGGCCCGTATATGATTTGTGGTCATGTTGGAAGAAAATAACGCTGTAACGGTAAGAAAATTATTAGACATTCCTCCTTTTTACCAACAATAAACTAATTGCTGTCACTTTAGCTCTAGTATACGAAGCGTTCTTATTTACTTATTTTAAAGTATTTAATTAAGTAATATTTAATCTTTTAAACGTTGGTATGATGGTTTTTAATTCGATATTCGATTTACGTAATATTTTTAATCCAATTAAATGTTGGCGCAATGTGTTTATAGTGGTATTTTTATTCTATTTCTATGCTATATGAAAGTAAATTTAACCTTTCTTTAGTATTTATACTCGTCGTATAAATGTATTATTCTATATAATATATATATTATTTATTCTATATAACGTATTTTAAAGTATTTAAATTTAATAATATCCTAATTATTTTAAATGTTGGATGATGTTTTTATTTCGATATTCAATTTCAGTAATATTTTAATCTAATTAAACATTGGCACAATGTTTTTATAGCGGTGTTTTTATCTCTTCTTTGCTATATGAAAGTAACAATAACCTTACTTTAGTATATTATACTCATAGTAAATGTATTTATTACACTTGCCTGCCATCTTAAAAAACGACATTTTCAAAAAAAAAATTAATCCATTATTTCAACGATATTTATTTTCTTTTTAAGTTTCGAATACTTTACTATGCGTAAAAACAGCGTTTTTCAAGATGGCCGACGTTTGTAGAAATCGCGCCAACAATTGCGCCAACGTAAATCGCCAAAAATCCGTGCAACCGTCTACCAAAGTAGCACCCTTATTTATTACTTATATATTATTGCATAAATCACGGAGCATTGGAGAGATTTCTTTTCTATATGTTTACCTATTAAGTTGTCTGTTAGTTTATAACATAACCAGTTAGTAACATAACCAGTCTGTTAAATTAAGCCAGTCTGTTAAATTAAGCAAAAAAAAACTTAGATTGATGCAGATTTTATTTAAATACTCAATATATATTTGTATGTAACCTACTAGATTTTATATAAAAATATCTGCATATCTAGGCTTTCTTCCTTTTCTTAATGCTATACATCGACATGTTCTTTTTTTTATATAGAATTATTCATTTCTTGTGAATATGTATCTCAGTGAAAAGAGAAAAATCTGCCTCTCGCACTCGCATGCACACATACAAAAAATCTTAAATAAACTGATTAAAATCATATCTGATGTCATTTATTATACCCAGACTAAAGTAAATTTGCATTTCACAATTGATCAAAGATAAAGTGACCACATTTTTCATTGAGACGCAATAGGACAAATGGAATGAAATGAGAATTGTAATTTAGTAATGAGAGCAGACCAATAATTAAAAAAATATATTTTTTATTGTATACATTCGTATACTTGTCTGTAAATATACAAAAATATATTTATTACAGTCAAAAGTCTTTAATCCGGACTCGTCGGGATTTTGGCGATTCCGGATTATCGATTTTTCCGCATTATAGATCATCAGTTTAAATCTGGTAAGATCGCATGCAGAAATCATAAAATTAAAAATATGAAACCGTAATTTATAAAATAATGAGCAATTATGATCTAAAGGGTATCAAAATTTACAAAAAAAGAAGCTTAATATTTATTTGTTTACTGTATTAAACATTTCTATCAACGCGCGCATGCGTAAAGCATACATTGGGCATAGTCGAAATTAGAAAATTGCAACCAGAAAACTATTTGATTTGTATTCGTGATATTTATAATGAGGAGGAATTTGATTTAAATCATATCAAAGACCGAGTAGATCGAAATGAAATACAACATATAGTAAGGAATTATAAGCCGACTAAAATAAAAACATCTGCCCTGAAGATAACGATAGTGCTGACAGATCAACTTCCAGTTCATCGCTCGCCGCGACGTCCCCCCCCCCCCGCAGAGCAGCGTGAAATTGATAAACAGATTTCGGAACGGTTAGATAAACAAAGGATATGCCTTTATCCATTTTTTGTAGCAATTCCACTTTTTGTTTGATGGACATCCAAACATACTTTCGTTTTGTAGATCCTTTGGGAGCTCCAGCATCGGAAATTCTATTTGACATAATCGAAAGTTCAAGCTTACTTTTATAAAATTGCTCTTACAGTCTGCAAAAATAATAAGCCGGATCCAATTCGAAGATTAAGGAACAACGCATCATCAACATTAACTGTAATAGATAATTA